TATAGTATTTACTGTGCGCCACGCTACCAGCTGAAGGCGGTCAAGTGAAGCGGGCGACCATGACTCGTTTCCTAGCATGAAGACTGGTCCTGGCTGCTTTATATCCTAGTCAGAGCTCTCCTTGGCGAAGCTTTTGCCACTACCTGCTTCCTGCACCTTTCCTCTGCCATCCCTCACACCCCCTCTAGCAGATTCTACAGCCAGGGAGCTGGAGCTCAGACAGGTGTGCAACTTAGCCTAAGGCCACCTGCGTAGTGAATGGCTGAGTCGAGCTGGGACTCGAGTCTTGGCTTGGTCTGTGACCCCGAAGCCCATGAGCTACCTGCTCTGCTACTCTGGACCTTTTTGTGTGGTGCTGCTAGTTCAAGGGCAAGAGTACATGTGGCCCTAGCAGGGAGCTGGGGATCTGACGTAGGCCTGCTGTATAGTGTCATGCCTGGGGACATTTGAGACTAGAGGGGTGAGTGTGAAATTTTACTGACTCATTCCYCACCCTTTGTGTTCCTGTTTCCAGTGAGGTCCAGGGCCAGAGCATCTGACTCGCAAATAGGGCCTGTCTGAGGTTGTGAGAAGCTTCTCTCACCTCCCTCCTGTCCTCTGCCCAGGCCCCCTGCTCCCCCACCCCCCATTTTTGCACTATGAATGTCAAGGAGTCTGTGTGTGTGGCAGGGATGGCTGGGAGGGTATTTGGAACCCAGGTGGGGCTTCTGGTCCAGCTGGAGAGGCCATCCGCTTGGCGACATTCCGTTCTGGGTTCTGACGCTGTTGGTTTGTTGTGCTTTTTGTAAGAGGGATTTCATACCTTGGAGATGCTTTGTACATATTTGTAATGATTTTATTAAAAACTTGGTTGTGCACTTCTAGCCAGAGTCCTTTGTGTTTTCATTTCCTTTTGGAGGGCCGGTACTCAATGTCCATGGGACAATCTGGCTGCCCTACCCCTGGACCCTGCACACTCTTGATCTCTGTCCCTGCCCCATCCCCAGGGCAGAAAGCCACACACTTACCTCACCTCTGAATTCCTGAGTACCCCTCAGGGGAAGGAAGGGTTTGCTGAGATAGGACCCAGGCAACAGGTTTGAGAACTTGCCCCACAATTCAAAGTCTCAGCTTTGGGCAAATAGGTTACACTGGGTTAAGAACTTTCACCTGCATTTGTGGGGTCTGAGACATACCAAGAGGCCAGGTTCTAGTCTCTTCCTAAGAATGGTGAGTGGCGGCAGGATTCTTAGGGGGAGGCGTTTTTAGATAAGAGATCTTCTCTTTTMCTTTGGAGTCTCACCCCTTCCCCACTCTCTTGTGACTTTGAGGGGCTGACTCCATGCTCCCATCYCCTCCACCATCACCCCCAGGGCTCRGTACCTGACAGGGCCYGGCTGGTACTCCACTTCCCACAGGCCAAAGTAATTGGTCTGAAGACAAATGGGACACTTTCTGGAACTCTGGGGAGGCAGAAGCTCTCTGTGGCGGGGGTCGTTCAACTAGCGCAATATACGCATAGAGTTGGGGGGAGGGTCATCTTACCACCACAGGGGACCTGACTGCCTGGGAGGAACACAGAACTGAGGAAGGAAAAGAGACATGGTCATTGCTCCAGCCCTGAATCCAGCTGTACCTGAAGTCCATACTATTACAGGAACCAAATAAAGTCCTTTTAAAATTCAAGCCATTTTTGCATTGGTTTTCTAACAGTGGCAACCAAAACGTTCCTATGATGTTTTTTCTGGCTGGTGTCATCATGCTACCCTGAGAGGCATAACCTGTCACCTAATGCCAATGAGTTACATTTCGACATCCGTTACTGGCTGACACCCGGGCAAGTCCTCTTGCATCAAACTGTCCGTTTGGGGCCCACACAACCGATAGCCCCCATGGTAGGCATTGCAGTTGTTCCACGGAGGCCCCTCTGGTCCCTTTTACCAATTCTGTGTTCCCGTCCTGCACCTCAGTCTGCTTTGCTGGGGCCTGAGGTCTTCAGAGACTTCTCTTGGACACAGGCACCTCCTCAGTGCAGAGCCTGAGGTGYCCCCGTCAACCCAGAGCCAAGGGTCCACTGGTATTTTTATGAACTCAAAAACCACAAGGTCGGACCARCTCTGAGATGCAACTTAGACTCAGGGCTCCATGTGGGATGGGGCTGAGGCTGAGACCTCCCCAGAAGTCGCCGCTAGCTTGGYTCCTTCCCCTGGCTCATTCTGTCCCATCCAGTCCCTCACCAGCTCCTCCTGGGAGCATGTCCCCAATAGACCACATGCTCCTCCACAGGYTCTGCTTTGGGAGCAACCAGGAGAAGATAAGGACCCGCCCCATGAAGCCCTGCCTCTCATCTGACCTGAAATGGTTTCTCCTGTCTTCAAGAGGTGACAGGATCATCAAGCCAGGAACCAAAGCTGTACCAACAAATGAGATTTATTGGCAGATTTATTATTAAGAAGACACAAAGACACCAAAGGCAGCAGTTTGTCCTACAACAAAAGGTGACTCTGGGACTAGATTCACAGTTCTTCCTTAGCAGCCAGGCTGTCCCTGGGGCTCGGTACCTGCTTCTCTTTTGAAGGCAGAGAACCTGTTACATCCGGGTTCAAAGTCTCCCCTTTCTCATTCTTGCACATTTATGATTCTAAGTTCCTTTTACATGAACAGGACCATTCCTGAGGACTTCATGGAACTTAAGTCAGTGAATCATAAAATATTAAGAGCAGGACCCTGGGAACCTGACACTGGATTGATCCTATATATAACAAATGAGCTGCATGYCAGCCTGGGAGCAGGAGAGGAGCCTTGTTCTTTTTCACGGGGACTCGTGGCTGCTTTTACTCAGGTGTTGGAGAATTCAGGTAGCCTGGTATTTGGAAAATTCTGCCTTAACCACAGTAGCCATCCAGAGCCGTGAAATGCTCCGACCTGAAAGAAAACCTACAAATGGGATGTTCCCCTAGAGGGTAGGGAATGAGTAAATAAAATCCTAAATGAAACCATCCCACCTGCCCTGGAGGGTCCCCCACATGGGACAGTCTATAATGTCAGAGTCATGGCTCATTATTTGTAGAAGGTTAGAAAATGTGTGTGTGTGTGTGTGTGTGTGTGTGTGTGTGTGTGTGTGTGTGGAGGGGGGGGAGTATAACTGGCAAAACCATTAGTGTGAATATCTATGCAGTAATCGATAGTTAGTATCTGTGGTTCTGAAGGATAATACACTAGATTTTGTCACCCTCACCATGGCTACGGGAAGTAAAGTGACTTCCAAAGTCATGTTGAGTCTGCCGTCAGGGTTCCAGGTCTGMCCCCCCCCCCCCCACAGGCTGTCCACTCCCTTAGCTCCATGACGTGCTGACACTTTAATAAATCTTGCCCAGCTCTGAATTCTGGAGCTTCTGACAGCTTCTGCAGGCAGGGTGATCTTTCTGATGAAAACCACTTGCAGACGATCCCCTGGCTTCCCTTGGGTTCTCCCTCCAGGCACAGAGAACAGAGCCGCGGCAGCCTCTCAGCCCGCTTCCCCTTCCCACYGGATTCTGCAGGCAAGTGGGATTGTTAGCAGCCTGGCCATCGCCATAGTAACAGGGCTTGAAAGATGCCACGCTGGCCTGCCAGGGATGTCTTGCTGGGAGCCCGAGATGTCAAGCAAAGGAGGACATCCTGGTGTGGTGGCACCCAGGGGCAAATGTCCTGATTCTAGTGGAGGAGGTGGCCATGAGCCTCCCCATCCCCCCGGGCCTTGCACACTCCTCTGCTCACTCGCCACACAGTCCGCCTTCCTGGTAATGCTGCTGGCGCCAGCCTGTTGTGCTGAGGTTGACAATGAGAGGGGCAGGGCAGGGCGGGCAAAAATCCCAGTGCTTCTACGTGGTCACCTGCACCATCTCATCCCGGGTTCCAAGGCAGGAGAGTTTCACAGGCAGACAAGCAGCTCTCATTGGGATTCTGGAACGGGGATGGCTGCTGGGCTCCGTGCAGCTCATGGAAAAGTCCATTGTTCCTTCTGCTCAGAGGGTTTTCACGGGAGGGAGCGATGTCTACAGGAGCCGTGGAGGCCTGAGACTTAAGGAAGGGAGAGGACAGACGAGGAGGAGGAGGAGAGAAACCATGACGGGAGACCCAGTGGTACCCACATCAGGGCCACAGTTGACTCTTTCTGAAGCCCAAGTGGGACTGGGCATCCCACACAGAGTCCAGGAAAAGAGCAATTTTAAGGGCCACGTCTTGCCGTGGACCCAGCCGCAGGACTTCCAGAGCTGGTGCTCACCATGTGCATGATCAGCAAGGTCTGAGGCTAACATCCTGTCCACCTGGCCGCTGATTCTTAACCAGGGAGGGGCATCAAAGTCACCTCTTGTGCTTTTAACACACCAGGTCTGGTGGCCCACACCTGCAGCGTCAGCATGCTGGCTTCGGGGCAGGCTCTGAAGCCACACGGGGCCAGTGTTGGACACTGGGTTCATCCTGGTCAGCTGGATGACCCTGGGAAAGTTACCACACCAAGCTCTGTGCCTCGGTTTCCTCACCTGTCAAAGGCAGGGACCAAGAGCACCTCCATCCYGGGGTTGTGGAGAGGATGACAGGAAGTCACCCCAGCAGGATGCGTGACACTGTGGGAACACATGAGGTGCTTGGTGCATGAAGCTATCCAGGTAGATGGTGGGGCTCGGCATTTGCATTGTGAAAATACTTCACAGTGACCAATCTGCAGCCTGAGCCGTGGGCAGGGGGAGCAGAACCTCCAGGGTGCTCCCGGGCTGGCAGCATCTTGGACTAGCAACAGGTACCAGGTGAGAGCTTCAGGTAGCACCGCCTCCTTGACTTGGAGGGGGCTGGATGACCTGCCGGGTGGAGGCGGARACTGAGTCAGGAGGCCCCCCTTCCAGAGGGGAAGGCCACACATACCACCAGATACAAGACGGAGGTGAAGGGGAGGAGGCCAGGAGCCCGGCTCCGGCYCCGGGGCTGGAGGTGGCGGAAGGCGGAGGCAGGAGGTAAGTGCTGGAGGCTGTTTCTCAGGAAGCCCCCAGCGCTGGACCCAGGAGCGCTGACCCTTTGGCATCCGTCTGGACGCCCTCCGCGTTGGGCCCTAGTACACCTGGAAGTGCGCCGAGGTGGCCCCGTCCTTCCAGCAGCGCAGCGTGTCYACGGCGACCGAGCGGCAGAGGGGACAGGTGCGCTCCCGGTCCAGCCACAGGCAGAGGCACTCCTCACAGAACACGTGCTGTGGGGACAGCAATCGGCAGGACTGAGAAGCCAGGGGCAGCAGTGGGCAAAACAGCCCWTGATGCCCTCCCGAAGCTCGCTCCAGTGGGGGAGACCGTGGCGCCCCGAACATCAGCCAAACAGTGGAGGCGGAAAGGGTGGGAAGGGGGCCTGGGGAAGCTTCACCAACACATGGGCATTTGGGTAAATCGGTTTTTAATTTAATTTTTGGTGCTTGGGATGGGACCCAGGACCTCATGCATGCTCAGCAAGTGCTCTACCACTGGGTTACATCTAGAAGGAAAATGAGGAGTGAACCCTGGAAACATACAGGGGAAGAGCACTCCTGGCCAAGGAGATAGCATGGGCAAAGGTCCTGAGGTCAGAATGGGCCTCCCATGCTGGAGGAACTGCAAGGACAGTGTGGGGAAGCCAGAGGGGCCGGGGAATGGGAGAGGGAGGTGAGGTCAAAGGGCTCACGGGGACTTCAGGCTCTGCAGGGCCCTGTGGACCATTCTGAGGACCCTGTATGATGGCACCCTCTCCTTTTCAGACTCATCGACCCTGGGTACCCAAGGTCAGTGACAGGCCATGTGGCCTTCAATACAAGGTTAATTCACAGTCTTTGCACAAGCAGCGAACCTGTTTATTCTGGAAGGTTCTGTCAATCACACTCCCCTGTTCCGTCATGTCTCTCCAACCCCAACCCTCCACTCTTGCACCACATTCTGGAATGATCTGCAAACACGTCTGTCTTGTCACTAGATTGGGGTTTTCTGGGGTCCAGAAGCTTCCTGTTTTACTCTGAGAGCAGACTGCTCGGATGCTCAGTAAACATCTGTTAAATGAAGGGACACATGTGCTCTCCTGGAAAGAGGTACTGATGTGGGAGGCTGCGACACACTCCTGTTCACACGAGGTTCTCAGTTGGATTAGGGAACAGGGACTAGTCACCGGAGTGGGCAGTCCCTCTACCCATTCATTCAACACAGGTTCAGTGAGGCTTGCACTTTTTTTTTTTTTTTGGTACTTGGTATTGAACACAGGGGCACTTTACCACTGAGCCACATCCCCAGCCCTTTTTATTTTCTATTTTAAAACAGGGTCTCACTAAGTTGCTTAGGGCCTAAATTGCTGAGGCTGGCCTGGAACTTGCAAACCTCCTGCCTCAGCCTCCTGAGCCACTGGGATTACAGTTATACTCCACCATGCTCAGCACTTTTTTTTTTTTTTTTTTTTAAACAGGGTCTTGTTGTGTTGTCCAGGCTGCCCTCAAACTCCTGGGCTCCAGGGATCCTCCAGCCTCAGACTCCCAGTAGCTGGGACAAAAAGGGCATGTCTCAGCAACTGGCTTTACACACTTTTAATCTTTACACACTCAAATACTTGGATCATAAGGCCAAACATTCTGCATCTCACCACATGTTTGTTGCGGATTTTATRCRTTTTKTTTGTTTGTTTGTTTTGCAAAAATGTGGTGTGCAACCATTATGTGAAGCTTTTCTTTTTTTAATATTATGTATTACTGAACAATCACTTATTACTAAACTGTCTTTGGTGCATGCTCGGGGGTGCATGGAATACTCATAATGTGGTGGCAATGATTATGTGGTGAAATATGGTTCTCAAAGATCACTGATGGCCTCAAGGAACTTTTGTTCTTGTGAGCTAAATCTGTATTAAAAATAGAAAATGAGCTGAGCTCAATGATGCACACCTCTAAYCCCAGTGTCTTGGGAGGCCGAGGCAGCAAGATTGCAAGTTTGAGGCCAACAGCAGCTTATTGAGATCTTGTCTCAAGATAAACAAATAACAAGGACTGGGGATGTAGCTCAGTGGTAAAGCATCCCCAGGTTCAATTCCCAGTAGCAAAAAAAAAAAGAAAGAAACCGAGTCATATTTAAAACCTATGAATACAGACATAAGTACACATTCTACCAGAACAACGACCTCATCACGGTCATCACAACCTCTGGGAAACCCCACTGTATGCTCTAGAGAGATGAAAGCAAATGATATCTTAATATTATTGTAAAACTAGTTTTTACCTTGGAGACTCCCGAAAGGGACTCTTGGAGGTAGTACCCCTGTGACACTTTGAAAACACATTCTAATTGCTTTTTCTTGGTATCTGCCCTGCCCTCTCCAGGAGAGTAGCACAGCTGTAACTGTCTTCCTCCTGTCCACCCCCAAACTTGGGCAGAGCAGGAACTCCACTGGTATTGCTGAGAACTGAATTCAAATCAGGAGAGAGACCCATGGGACACTAGGCTGGAGAAGACCCAGTCCCTGCCCCCAGGGACTCAAGATCTCTATTCCTCAGAGCATCGGGCAGGGCAGAATCTGCTGCTGAGGAAGTTCCAATAGCCAGGACTGCCCAGGACCTGGGTGACCTTGAGTTCCTTCTGCATCTGAGAGAGATGAACCCTACAGACAGAGGGAGGGGCTCCTTCCCAGTTGGAATGGGCGGGTAGTGCTGGATAGTCATGTGTCCCCTGCCTGTGTCTCCCGGGTCAAGAGTAGCAGGACCAGCACCCTGTCCTCACCCAGACTGTGTTTTGCCCAAAGGCTCAGAGTAGGCAGGAAAAGGCGGCGGGGCTGAGGACAAGATCCCCCCCAACCACAGAAGCCAGGCCCTACGTGAAAAAAGAGACGTTGAATGGGAACAGAGGGCCACCTCTTGACCTGGCACTTGACTGTGGGTGTGCGCTGAGAAAGAAGGAAGCAGCAGCCAGGCCTGGGCACAGGGGGATGGGTGCAGGTGAGGAGTACAGGTCAAAATTGTGACACTGTGCAGAGAACTGCTAGTGACCTCCTGTGCACTTCACAGCCCCGTCATGCAACAAACAGGTCACAAAGACCCAGGGAAGCCACGTTGTTCCCAAGGGCACACGTGTGGCACAGTGGGCAAACACATTCCAGCACAGTGGGCTGGAATGCGACTTCAGACAGGTGGCAATCCGATTTCTATGGCATCCACCGCCTTGGGCAGCCCCCTTCCCTGAGTAAGGGCTGCACCTCGTGACTCTCTTCTAAGCAGGAGAATACAGCAAAGTCCACGGGATGTCACTTCCGACACTAGCGCACTCTCTGCTGCATCTCGCATGCTTGCTCCGAGGCAGCTAGCTTGGTGAGGAACTTGGGGTGGCTTCCAATCACCACAGCCTGAGAGGAATGGGGGCCTCCAGTCCCGCGGCCCTAGAGGAGCGGAGTCTTGCCAATAACCGCAGGATGGAGCTGGAAGCGGCCGCTCCCCACTGAGCCAGAAAATGACCATGGCCCTAGCTGAGACTGCRTTCGCAGCCCCTGAGAGACCCCGACGGAGAGGAGAGAAGGCAGTGAAGCCATGTCTGGATTTGGATCCTGGGAAACCGTGTGATGATACGTGTTTGYAGCTTTMAGCCACTAAGTTTTGGAGTCATCGGTTATGCAGAAATCAGTAAGTGACGAAAGAAATGTCCCACTCCCGATCAAAACTTCTTGCCTATACGTTCTATCCCGCAGAGTGTGCATACAGGGACGGGGAGGGAGAAAGGTTTAAAGAGCTTGATTATGAAAAACGACATATGTGGCCACTCCCATAAGGGGACACACACACACACACACACACACACACACCTGTAACCACAGATCCCCTTTAATCACACAAATCAGGCCTGCTGTGTTCAGACTCAGTCTTCAACACTAATACTGAATATTGGTACAACATGCTCTGCTTTTCAAAACCCGTATGTAATTACGTATTCCGTYGCGGATAACTAGAAACACCTACAAGTTACCTGGGGCAAGCATTTTTATTCTCCGGTGACAGATGACATGGACAGTTAGTGTCACTGTGAAATGTGTTGCTCGGGGCTATCCAATCATGCTTGGGATACTGTTGGCACTCAAAAGCCCCTGATGCAGAAGTGAATGGGTGGAGGAGTCRTTGCCAATCCCAGCTCAGCCTTCATTTTCTGAGGAGGCCACGTGCAGGTTGGCCTGGGCAGAGCTCAGCATTCTCGAGGATTTCCAGAAAAAGCCCTCTGGTTCTTTAATGCAGCCCTAGGGATATCTCAAAGCCAAAGGCCCAGCCTCAAGGAAATGGTGGCTCTAGGGGTTCTGGATTGGAATCTGGGTTCTGTCACAGAGAGCAATGAGATCTCAGGCAAGGGCACCCCTTTGCCTTTCTGAGCCCAAGTCGCCCCCTCTGTCACACAGCAGAACTCTTTCCCTCCAGGGCATCCGTGAGGACTGAGACAGCTACGGCCTCTAAGTGTCAGATGGGAACACCTTTTAAGTCCAAAACTAATAGGATCCACCCTTCTCTTGTTGAATGTTTATAACATACAACACTCAAAAAAGCCAAACTCATAGTGACCAAGAATTGGAAAGCAGTTTCTTCTCAAACGCACGCTCAGCTCACTCTTCTCTTTGCCAAAGGAGTCCTTTAAACAAACCAAGTTTCTGACTTTGTGTTCAAAATGCCTAKCCCCTGCTCCCTGGTAGCCTGGTGAGAGGCTATATGCCATAAACACCATAGAGACAAACTAAAACACGTCTGAGCCGAGGTCCAACCTCTGGATGTGTTCAGTGGGCAATCTGTTTCCCAGGCCCTAGCTCAGGGGATGGGGCGGCGGCTGAGGAAGTGACACACTGAGTTTCACTAGTGACTCTCTGAAGGACAGACAGGATGCTACTGTAGCTAAGGGGGTTCTTCATCCACTCACTCATTCATTTGCCCCTCCATCCATCTACCCGTCCACCCATCTACACATCTGATATTCACTTATCCAATCACCCATCTGTCCATCTGTCTATCCATACAGGCAGTCATCCACCCTCTTATACCTCTATCCAGCTGCCTTTGACCCTCTCATCCACCCATTTACATATCGGATTTTTATCTGTTTACCCATCTGTTCATGTTTTTATCCATCCATGGRGCTACCTACCCACTTATACCTCTACCCACTCACCTGTGCACTCACCCATCCACTTGTCCACCTGGTCACCGTCCTATCCAGCTGTGTGTCCACCCATTTCACCCATCCCATCTGTCTGTCCATCCAATCCATCCATCTACCTGCCTATCCATCCCATCCCATATCCATCCATCCATCCATCCATCCATCCATCCATCCATCCATCCAATATTTACTGGTCCATACTGTGGCTCTGTTGCTAAGCAAGACAGCCATGGTTTCCACTTGCAAGCTGCTTGAAGTTTGGCAACAGAGAGACAGACCTTACACAACCAGTCATCCACTGGATTATCTAGCTCGCCACTGGAAAAAAGTGCTATGAAGGAAATGTACCAGGCATATAGCCGAGAATGTGACTCATCTGGGGAAGCAGAGTCAGGAACACTTTATGGATGAAGTGACACCCAAGCTGTAGTCATTCATTCCTTTGTTTGTACATCCAGTGCATTTACAGGTCAGCAAATCCCTCTGACCCATGCAAGTCATCTCTGCCCTTCCAGGCTCAGCTCCTAGTGACCGGGTGACACTGAGATGTGTGTTTAGCCTGATGATGTTTGTGGTCTTCAACCATCACTAGGTATAGCTGTCACTCCTAGTCTGGGACAATGGGGTCTTGTCTGAACCCCCCCAAGAATTTCTAATCCAGCTGTGGGAAGAGTGTGGTGGTACCAGGAGAGGAATGAGAAGGAGACAAACAGATTGATGCTCAGAGAGATTGCCAGAAAAGAAGAAAGACTTTCACCTTGACATCATGTTCAAATAAACCCGGCAACTGAGAAGAAAGTACAGATGGTGCCGAAGCATATGAAAAGATGCTCAACCACGCTCGTAATTAGGGAGATGCAAATTAAATCATCGCTGAGATAGAGTTTGTCACCTGTCAGATTGGCAAAGCTCACAAGAGGCTTGATAATGCTGTGTTTTGAGGCGGGAGGGAACAAGAGGCCATGTCACACTTTGCACTGGAGGTGTAAGCGGATACTCTCTTTATGGAGGGCAATTGAGCAATACCTGTCAAAACTGTGTACCTGTGACCTGGGAATTCCACCTCGAGGAATTTATCCTACCAAGAGCTCATGCACTTGTGAAATGGAATGTGTGTCCCTAAGAGCTGTATGCATTCAACCATGACCATGTGCCAGGCACAGCTTTAGATATTTCACTTGAATTAAYTCATTGAGCCAACCTGACGCGGTGAGGTAGCTAGAACTGATCTCCCCATTTCAGAATCTTTGAGCTAGCCATATCTSTAATAATAGAAGATAAAAGCTACTAAATGCCTATCCATAGAACAATGGTTAAATAAATTTAGGTTTATTCATAAAATGGCATGTTATATAGTTATAACACAGAGTAAGGAGAGATCCTAAGACAGAATTGCAAGGTAAAAAGACAAGTGGGTAAGAATACACTTTAACATATTTTTTTAAAAAAGATACATTCATGTGTGTATCTGAGTTTGTGTATGCATATGTGTGTGTGTGTGTGTGTGTGTGTGTGTGTGTATGTGCGTGAATATGTATATACCTAACACATATACTGTGTTGGTAACAGTAACAGTAGTAGTAGAATTTGGTAACAGTAGTTGCTTGTGTAGGTTGACAGAGGATTAGAGAGATGGGGGGGGCAGGGGAGGTGGCCTATTACCATCCTTTGTATATATTGCAAAACAATTTTTTTAAATAAACTMTTAATTTTTGGATAAATTTAGGCTTACAGAAAAGTTGCAAAGACAGAATAGAAAATGTCTGTATCCCCCTCACCTAGTTTGTCCAAATATTATCTCTTGCATGGATATGGTACMTTCGTCAAAGCTAAGAAATCCACACTGGCACATTACTATCAACTAAATCCCCAACTCGATTCAGGTTTTATAAAGCTAGCTTTTCCAATGTCCTCTCTCTGATCTGGGAYCCAAACCAGGTCCCAGATTGCATTTAGCTGTCATGTCTCTTTAGGTCTTCTTTTTTGAATTTCGATTCATGCGAACACGTTATTGAGTTACACGGAAACAAAATCAAAAGTTAAATTAAAAACAAATTCCTTTACAATCCCCAAACAGCAAACAACAAAAACATTTTCCCTGGTGCTAAAAGAAGACCCCGTCTCCTATCCCACCTTGAGGGAAAGATGGCGGGCCATCTGCTTTTCCAGTCCRTCTGGTCTCCAGGCTTCATGACTCCTCCGAAAAGCCTTCCCAGCCTGGAACTCATCGCTCTGCTCGGGTCCCCTGGGACGCTGCATGAATCTCTCTTACACAGCACTTATCACCGCCTGCCTGGTTTCATAGTTATTTATGTATATGTCTCTCTCCCCAGGGAGACCGTGAGCTTCCAGAGAAGGGGACAGAATCTGCATGCCCTTCGCCTCTCCTTCTGATAGGACACTTTGACCCAATACATATTGGCTGAATTGACACCTGGCTCCTGATGTCAGGGAAGGGAGGACGGACACATCTTGAGAGTTGAAAGGGGCTAACCAGCATTTACCACCAAGGTTTGGTGATTCTCAACTAATAGTGAAAACAAACGCTGATAATTACCAACAATAAGAAGTATAATGTTATCAACTTATAGGTTAAAAGATCAAAACTTAGTCCTTTCCATAGATAATCTCATTGAATCATAAAAGCATGATGCAGTAGTTATTATTAGTAGTATAATATTATTTTTTTGAAGCTGGGAATTGAACCCAGGACCTTGCACATACTAGATAAGCACTGTACCAGTGTACTAGATGCCAGCTCCCTGAAGTAGGTATTATAATTAACATTATGCTCATTTCATACATGGCTGGGGGAGAGGCAGATGGAGACGGGAATAGTGCTAGGATTTGCCGCAGCCYGGCTGGCTGGGCAAAATAGCTGGGGGGTGACAGAACAACTTGTTTACATTGATACAGCAGGAGTGGGAGCCGTTTATTGTAGGACAGGAGCAGTATTTATACATTCCACACAGCTTATCTTAATTAGCATAAACTAGATATATCAGTCAACCAATAAAGAATTTTCACACTTAATGGCTCGCTGGCATTACTTTACAAACCACTCCCTCTGGCATTTTGCCAGGCGCCATCCAGACTTGTTTACAGACTCTACCATTTGCCAGGTGCCATCCKGACTTGTTTACAGACCCTAACATTGCCATCCTGACTTGTTTACAGACCCTAACAAGGATTCACACTTGGACTGTTCTTACATGACTCCACACTGAATTTGGCATTTCTACATTTTACTAATGATACGAGGCTCAGAGAGGTGAAGTCATCTGCCCAAGGCCAGTCAGCTAAACAGGAAGAGCTGAGATTCAAACCTGGATCTGACTGGCCTTGGGCAGTTAGGGTACGAGCCACCGGTCTTGACAAGGTTGTTCCCAAAGACCCAAGCCAGAGCCCTGAGATTTGGTCAGGGGGCAGCTTTTCCAGGGACAGGACTTTGCTGTGCCTCAGCCCCAGTCCCCTAGGCCCAACCCGAACCCCTCTCACCTGGCACAGGAGGATCAGAGGTTCTCGGAACTCAGCCTGGCAGATGGCACATATGTCACCAGCTTCTGTGCACTGCTGCCCCGTGGCTCGGACCCCATAATTCTGTTTAGGAAAGAGAGAAAGGAAAACAGTTATAGTCCCTTGTGAAAGTGAGGCCATCAGGAGCACCGTGAGAGCTGGGGGGTAAGAAGGGGCTGCTCCTAGTTCCCATGACCTTAGTCAGGACCACCTGAGACCAACTCACCTGGGAGGTGCAGAGAAGCTTCAGGGCTTTCCTAACTCCACCCACACGGCCGCAGATATCAAATGACTAAAAAGGAGAGAAGAACGATGGCTGAAAAGTGTCCAAGACTTGCTTGGCCTTTGTCTTGCTTCCTGAGACCCACAGTCTCCCCTGCTACCTAAGCCACCACAGAAAATAAATGGCACACACACAGCTTTCTTCCCCTCCTAAGTCCAGAGCAGGCATCACTAATCAATCACAGCACACTTCTTCTGAGCCCAGGCAAAGCCTGAAGGATGATCTTTTTCCATCTAGCACTCCACTCAGCCACTACCAGTCGATCCATGAGCGAGCGAGCAAGCAGAATAGACCCCCTTGACTGACACTGCGCAGTTGGGTAGCTAGTCCCCTGGGAGGAAGGAAATAGAAGGCATGCATTCTCCCAGGATCTGCTAAAGCCGTAAAAAGAGAATGCTTCAAAAGAACAAGAGAATGTATTTGTTTTTAGGGGAGGGGGAAAATCCTGATTTGTACTAAAAATGAAAAGTACCGTGTTCTGATTTGAGGAGTTAGGGCATGCAAGATGAGAGGGATAATGYTTTTGAGATAAGGAGTTAAAGGAAATTCAGTGACAAGGAGGTGAAGTGCTCTGGGCTTTGGAAACAGCCTGCCTGGATTTGATGCTTGCTCTGAGTGAYTGTGGGCAAGTAACTGCATCTCCCTCAAACCTCAGTKTCCTCACCTATAAYATAGGAGTCCGAAGGGTATGCAGGCTGGTGGTTGTGAAGATGACTGTGTGAAAAGGCAGCATATGGTGAGCTTCCCAGGCAAGAAATTAGGCTGGACTCAGCCATTATAGGGAGTGACATGGGCTCTCCTGTGGGTGTACCTCCACGTGGTAAGCTCAGTGAGGGAAGCCAAACAGGAAAGGTGGTGGTGCATGGAAAGATTCCATGCATACGAAGCATCCAGAATCGAGAGATTCAGAGACACAGATCAGGGGGTGTGAGGGCCTGTGGGAGGGATGGCTGTTTAATAGGTACAGGACATCTTTTGGGGGTGAAGAAAATATCTTAGAGAACTAGGCTGGCTCGCCATTGTGAATCTGCTGGATGCCACAGTCGCACACTGGGATCCTCAGAGGGTAATCTGATGTTGTGAATTTTACCTTAATTTAAAAATGAAAGAAATGACTCTGTCGTTCCAAGCTCACCAACAGCCCCCCCCCCCCACTGGCTAGGGAATGCAGCCCTGGGGCCATCTCACCTTGCAGACACYGTAGAGAACGATCAGGACCCCTCCCAGGAAGTAGCTGTTGGAGGAGTCRTCCCCCATGATGTATTTGTACCACAGCTGGATGGGGACCAGCGATCGGAACAGCTGGCTCAGCTCCTCGATAACCAGATAGAACTTTCCCTGCAGCCACACAAAGAGCATCAATTATTATTAGCCATAAAGACCCAGAGGACCAAGCTGGGGGTGGGGGGAAACTGGCCCAGCAGTAATGACATTCCAGGTCACAGGCAGGCCATTAATCAGCTTTGGAAAGCACTCAGGCCAGCTCTAATGGGGCCCGATATGGCCAGGGAGACTTGGCCCCTGCCCGATGTCCTCACCCAACACCCACCAGCCCTGAAGATCAAAGCACTGAGGATCAGGTTTCAGGGAGGGAGAAACCCTAGACTTTTCTGGTCAAGGGCTGGAGTGGGGTCACTCTTGGGTTCTTGCTGTAGCTTGGAGGGCTGAGCACTGGATGCGGGGAGATGGTCACTCCCTCACTGCCCCCCCCAGGCCACCCTAGAGGGCTGGTGGAGGCAGAGGCATTGCAGGTGACTGTCCCAAGGGAGCAGGTGAGTCCAGGAGGAGGCTGGGGACAAGGAGATGCATGTCCCTGTCACTGCCAGCTGGGGAGGCAGGATGGATGGCATGGGGCCTCCACCAGGCTGGGTGTGACTCTCATCTTCCCACACACTCCCGAACCTGCGCCCTCACCTACAGGACGGGAATCCCATTGCCCACCTTATGGAATTTCTCCGAGGATCGAAGCAGATGAGTGGACAAGCACCTGGCACTGGGATTGACCTCCAGTTCTAGCCCCTTTCTTCCCTTTGCTCACTGATCAGTCCCTGGAGCYTTCTGTGGCTTGTGCTAGAAAGTGGAGGTGAAAAGAACCCCACCCTGTTGTGTCTAGTGAAGGTGAATGTACACCTGTCCTGTGGCCCTTTGATTCTACCCTGAGGTATCATCTGCCCAAGGGGAATGGAAACTAAGCCCCAAATGTACACAAATGTTCTCAGCAGCTCTGTCCATAAAAATCCCCAAACTGGAAACAGCCAAAACGTCCATCGGCGGAAGAACAGATAAACAAATTCTGGCGATGTTTATACAATAGGGTCCTGCTTGGCAGTAACAATCAACAAATGGCTGATATCTGCCACACTGTGGATGGATCTCATAGAYGTTATGCTGAATTAAAGAAGACAGCTATTAATGACTATATTGTAATTCTGGTTTGTATAAAGTCCAAGAAGAGGTAACACTCACCTGGGGTGAGAGAAGTCAGACCTAAAGCTTCCTGGAGGGAGGGTTGGGAGGATGCCCAGCAGGCACCAGGGCATTTTGGAAAGTAGAAATATCCTACGTGTTGATTGGGATGGTGGTGATACGGGTGTATGCATTTGCTACAACTCACAGAAACATATGCCTGAAATCTATGCATCTTGTTGTATATATTTAAGTTATACTTTAATACAGTTGATAACAAAAAAAAAAACACATAAAAATAAGCAYGTAACCCTACCCCAGGCATCCACAGTCTTAAAAATGTAAGTAACTTTTTTGGGGGGAGGTACTGGGGTTTGAACTCAGGGGCCCTCAACCACTGAGCCACATCCCCAGCTCTATTTTGTATTCTATTTAGAGACAGGGTCTCACTGAGTTGCTCAGTACCTTGCTTTTTGCTGAACCTGGCTTTGAACTTGCGATCCTCCTGTCTCAGCCACTTGAGCCACTGGGGTGACAGGTATGTGCCACTGTGCCTGGTATAAGTAACTTAAAAAAACAACAACTTTTTTTTTTGTCCTTGTAGATGGATAGCATGCCTTTATTTTGTTTATTTTTATGTGGTGCTAAGGATCAAACCCAGAGCCACACACGTGCTAGCCAAACGCTCTACCACTGAGCTACAGCCCCAGCCCCCAAAATGTGAGTCATTTTTTGCTCCAGCAATTATACGGATAAAATAATTAAGGAAAACACGGAAAGACGTACCCTGGGGAATGGTTGCCACAGCATTCTTTGTTACAACGGCAAAAAAGTCACAAACAAAAATGCTTAAAAAGACAGTCGGTCTGATTATATTAGAGAGCTATAATGGAAAACCAGACAGTCATTAAAAAAATTATCCTGAAAAATAGCAGCTTTATAGTAAAGAAAGCAAACATACCACTCTCACCACACACCACATTAACCAAGGAGTCAAGGTTAATATCCCCGGTAATAGTCYTAGTGACGTCCTGAACTCTCTGATAGGATGCGCAGGCAAGACATGGCATCCTTCTGTGGGACTCACATCCAAAATATGTAACCTCCATCTAATCATCAGAGAACAAGGGACAAGTTCAAATGAGGCACAGTCCACAGAGGAACTGTACGACCATCTTCACATTCATCTCTGATCAAAGACAAAGGAAAGACCAAAAAATGGTCAGATAGGAGACTAAGAAATGCACATGGGATCTTGGACTCAATCCTGGACCAGGAAAAAAGGCGCTCACGAGGCAACCGACAGCATCTCGATAGGTTGTGCAGGTTGGTGAACGGTAACAGGACTGATGCCCATTTTTCTGGCTTGGTTAACTGTTCCAGGGTCACATTGGATGTTAGCACTTGAGGAAGCTGGATGAAGGATACTTGGACTCTCAGCACAGCTTTTAGAACTTTTCTAAATCTAAAGTTATTTCAAATTACAAGTTAAAAAAAAGAAACCATCCTGCCGGGCATGGTGGTGGCATGCCCAACATCCCAGTGGCTCGGGAGGCTGAGGCAGGAGGATCTCAAGTCCAAAGCCAGCCTCAGCAACTTAGTGAAGCCCTAAGCAACTCAGTGAGACCCTGTCTCTAAAGAAAATGCCAAATAGGGCTGGGGATGTGGCTCAGTGGTTGAGTGCCCCTGAGTTCAATTCCCAGTACCAAAAAAAAAAAAAAAAAAAGAAAAAGAAAAAGAAAAGAAACCATCCTGATAACTGTTATCTATTGACCTGGAGAAATGCTTATTTTATAGTTCCAAGTGGAAAAATGGTGAACATAAAAAAATACTCATCTTTCTGTTTTTCTGCTTTTTTCCGTTTATTTAAATTAAAGGAGGAAAGATTATAAAAACATGTTGCTTTATATCTACCTCTTTAGATCCATCTTGATGGCTGGGCACAGGCCACTCAGGAGGGGACCCCTGGAAGATGTATCACACATGCCAAGGACCAAGAAAGGGATCCACTCGTCTTTATCTTTGCAACTGATTGTTTCTCTGTTGGAAAGTCAGAGTTTCCCAAAGCGCCTTTCTTTCCCACCTCCTGACTCCCACCAGCCCCTTTCCCCTAGAAACATTCCTGGAGGGATGTTGCAGGAGGCGGAGATGGGAGAACAGGTGTGGGTGGCCGCCATGTTTGTTTTACACGGACAGTGGCACAGCAGCTCCAACGATGGYGATGTCTGCCTGACCCTTCCACAGCCTGAGAGTTGGTCCCAAGCTCTCACTTTGAACTTTGTTTTCCTGTTTTGATCTTTCTTTTCCTGAATTCCCAACTTCAGCTGCCCTAGGCATTCTCCATGTCTCCCAAATTGCTCTTTTCTAAGATCTCTCACCTCCTGATTGTTCCATCTGATCCTGGACCAGCAACCCAGTCTCACCTAACTTCCAACATTAACCTGTTGGCCACTCCACCCTGAATTCAGTGCACCTCTGGGGAATTCTTTTCTCTTCTTTTCCTCCCTCCTCTTTTTCATTGTATACTTGCATCCACCTAATCATCTGTCTGTTCATCCATTTATCCATCCATCATCCATCCATTTATCCAACCATCCATCCATCCATCCATCCACTCATTTTTCAATCCACCCATCCATTCATCCAACCAACCACCCATCCATCCATCCATCCATTTACATGGACAGTGGCACAGCAGCTCCAACGTCCGTCTATCCATCCATCCATCCATCCATCCATCCATCCATCCATCCATCCATCAATCCATCTATCCATCCATCCACCCAACCACTCATCCACCCAATCACCCATCTGTCCATACATTCATCCTTTCTTTCTTCCTTTCCTCCCCTCTCTCCTTCCCAACCCATGAAGCTCCCTTCCTTCCCTCTCCTCAGAACAGGAAAGGATTTTTGGCTCTGGATATATCCCCAGCATCTATTCCCATAATAGGTGCCCATTTAATAACCAGGGTCCTCCAAAGCTAAAGATTCCACCCCCATTACTTATGCCAACTTCCTATAGTTTGCGGACAGTGAAGGAAAGCTGAAACACTGGCAAAGGAGAGTTTGGAACATCAAAGAGAGAATGCCACTTTATAAGCAAGCACCAATGTCACAGAAAATAAAATTAAGGGAGTGAGTGCCTATGTGACACCATGTTAAAAGTAGCAATTAGCTGCTGGTGGGGTGGGGTGGGCCACTTTGAGAGAGAGAGAGAGATCAAACCACCAGGGAAAACTGGGCATATCCCAGTGAAACCATCTCTCCGTAATTAAGCAGTTTTATAATTCCAGGTTTCTTAAGCGTGTTATTTCTGAGGACCATCAAATGGAACGTGTGGTTTCTCTGGGGTGTCAGAGAACAAGGGAAGCGATCCGAGCGTGAGCCGTCTGGCCTGCCTGTCACCCGTGCGTGCGGGAGGAACAGTGGCAATTGTTGCAAGCCTGGCTGGGGCGCAGAGGTTCTGGGCTCGGATTCCAACAGGGGGGCAGCAACAGTTGAGTGGGGAAGGCGGATTCTATTTTGACTTCCTCGCTGCCAGGCTGGGGGCGGGACAGAAGTGAAATGGGAAACTCGGAAACAACAGAGGCTGGCGCAGAAGGCAGTGGTAATGAGGGAGAGTGGGATGCCGGGAGACAGAGACAGGAACAGAGGAGGGGGCTCTGAGAATAATGCACCTAGATGGGAAAAATGATGGGAAAAATTATGGGGGTGGAGAGGAAGAGAGAAGAGACCTAATCAGATCCTTGTTAGCTGCTTTCACAGGGAGGAATTCACGGGGAGTAATGAAAGCCTTGAGCCTTTTGTCCCCCTCTGTATCAGGCTCAGTAATGAATATTTATAAAGTTTTGCCTGTTGATGAATCTTTTTGGTACACAGGACTGCACAGTGGTTAGTGGCCCAGGATGTGGGATTCCAAGCTCAGATCTG